ATACACCATCTGGTAATACATGCCTAGGTGGATGGTAACCCACACGATGGATAGTGTGTGCTTGACATGCATTGCAATTCTTTACAACTTTTTCAATGTCCGAACGCAAGTTGGTCCAGTGCAATTTATCTGCATGGATAGCCTTTTCGATGGAGTTGATTCCTGTGTGTCCCAACAGTAGATGTGTGCTTTCAATGATAGACATTCTGTCTGGTTTGGGAGGCGTCATGTATTCAGTGTATTGTAATGCACGCGAAATCAGAGCTGATTGTGGTAAGGAATCATCATCTTTTACTGGCTTAGCAGGTTTAGTTGGAAATGCAGAATAATTATAATTCATTTCTTGGTGACTTGTTTTGGGAGCATGTAAGGATGCGCGTTTAGAAACAGAGTGCAACTTTTTCTGTTTGTTCTTTTTCTTTTCTGTTCTAGAGAAAGTACGATGCTTTGTTTTGTCAACATGGTTATGTTGGTTATTTGAGCTCGTGCACGAGTGATCACCCTCCTCCTCGGTGAGCAAGTCAGACTCATACAAGCGACTGAGTGCGTCAGGCAAACAGTTGGTGATGCCAGGTATGTGAACGATATCAAAATCATAACTAAAAATTGCATCGTAGTAGTTCAACATCATGGCATTAGGTACAGCTTGACTTTTCAAAAATACAAGCGAACGATGATCAACATGAGCAGTGGATTTAATACCATACAACAGTTTATGAAAATGTGTACATACAAATAAAAATCCAAGCAATTCACGTCTAGTAGTACTATATCGTTGTTCAGTGGGATTGAGCTTACGGCTAGCCATGCCAACATAATACACCTTGTTTTCTCTGATGTAGTAGACTACACCACCAATACCAGTCTTAGAAGCGTCAGTGGCAACGTGAAGACGATATCTAGGATCATAAGGCGAGAGGACGACCGCAGAAGCAAGAGCAGCTTTCAACTGGCGAAAAGCAACAGTGTGTTTCTCTGTCCACAGACCAGTTAATGACTTTTCACAACGAAGATCATCAAGAGGAGCAGCCAGAGTAGCATAATTGGCAATAGAACCACGAAAATAGTTCAAGAAGCCCAAGTACGAAGCAAGCTTTTTTCCAGTGGCAGGGATTTCATCCCAAGTGGAAGTAGCAGATATCTTGCGATAATCTGGTAAAAGCTGACCATTACGAATAGTCCAACCAAGAAGATTGACTGAGTTCATGGCAATAACGAGTTTTGATGCGTTTATCTGGAGATTAGCATCAGTGAGGCGTTGGATAACTAATCCAAGGCAAGTGAAATGATGTTCAAGAGTGTCTGAAGTAGCCACTGTAATATCATCAACGTAAATGGTAACGAAAGGCAAGTCATGGAAATAGTTCTGCAACACATTCTGCACAAAACCACTCATAAATGTAATGCCAAAACACATCTTACGAAAATGATAACGTAAATTGGTAAAAGGGCACATAAAGCTAAGCTTATGTTGATGGCTAGGATTAACCAGAAAAGAAGTGAAGCAAGAGCGAACGTCAATCGTAGAGATAATAGTAGCATTACCCATACTTTGATGAATATCCGAAATCAACGGAAGTTGAAACACATCGTTACTGATAAGGATATTGTTCAATTGACGAACATCAGCCACAACTCGAGGCTTTTTCATAGAATAGACACCATCAGCGTCTTTCTTTGCAACACATAAAATTGGTACGTTAAAATCCGTGTGACCAAAAGAGCGTTCGATAACGCCTTCTTCAAGCCAAACTCGGAATTGTTCAAGTACTGCATCTTTGTACGCATAAGGTACTGGATAAGGTTTCTTGAATGCACTCATTCCAGGTTTTGTTTCAAGGTCTACAATTGCGTTGGGCAAACTGCAGTAAGTAGCCTTCAAATCAATGCTAGCATTGGCATCAAGTAAAGGTTGTAAAGTCTTCATCAAAGCTTCACGTTCAGATGGTGTACCAACTGGACTATCATTGGCTTCATTTTTCACCTGTTCAGGATCGATAGGCGAAGGTAATGTAGGACCAGTGGTGTCAAACCATGAAGTAACTAAACCATGCACAGATAAACCTAAGCGAGGCATTAAGTCTATTCCAATAACGACTGGGACATTATCTTTGATAGAAGATGTATTAAAAATCTCGAAAGTATGAGTTACAAATCGTTTATTGTACAAAAGTTCTAAATTTCTTTTTCCTAGACTGGGAGTACTACAACTAGCATCACCAAGAAGAACAATACCACTAGAAGGCAAAGAAGGCTTACCAAGCAAGGCAAAGAGTTCGGGATGAATGACACTAAGTGTTGCTCCACTGTCAACCATGGCATAAACTGCATGATGTTCTATAACAATAGGAATAAGTAGAGCGTTAGAACGTTGCTCTGTTAATTTAGAAAATTTTGTGTACTTACAATCTTGGGCAGCAGTAGCCAAGCACTCGTCAAGTTCCATTTCTTCAGCAGAAGAAAGAGGAGCAACAGGAGCGGAAGTAAGAGAAGTGGTGGCCATAGGATCAGCGATCGCTGATGTAGCGGCGGAGGAAGAAGAAACAGGAAAACCAGCTGAAGAGCCAGCGACAAACTCGGAGCGAGGGTACACAGCCAAAGAGGAAGTGTCAAGTAATGAATCATCTGTTGAAGATAAATTCGAAGAGGCAGACTCGATAGCTTTCATCATTGCAAACCTAGGGTTCGAAGATGGTACAGCGGAGTTGCACACATGGTTCTTGGACCAGTTAGGGGCCCCGCAGCGGAAACAAGTCTTTTCTTTTTCACCTTTTGGTTTGGAAAAACCAGTAGCAGCGACAGAAGAAGAACTAGGCTTGCTTGCCAAGGAGGCTGAGATTGACGACAAAGCTTTACATTCACTCGTCTGATGAGTGGTGACCTTATGTAATTCACAGTACTTGCCACTGCTGGTAGGTAAGACTTTCTTTGTGATCTTTCCTGACTTAACAGCGTGTTTAGAAGACATGACAGAAACAGAAGGAGAGGAGCCAGAAGAGCCAGAGGAAGGTTTGTTACCCATGAAGGACATCTCATGCAAGTCCTTGGAAATGTCGAGAGCCATTTGCATCAAGTGATCAATGCTCAAGCGTTTTTCAGCAGGCAAAGTAGCACGGGCAAGGGAAACACGCTCACGGAGAGCTCCAGGCATGGCCTTGAAGAATTTGTCAATGAGTACAGCAACAGGCAAGCTCTGGTCAGCAGAGCGACGACGTAAATCGCGGAATCTATCGACAAAAGCAGCAAAAGATTCACCGTGATTCATAGAGACGTTGACGAGTTTGAGTGCGCAGTCAGCACGATCTTGTTCAGTCGAACGACCAAAGCGAAGAGTAATGGCCTCCTTAAAGTCGCACCAAGTTGGACTTTGTATAGGATGAACCGCAACAAACTGTTCGTACCATTTCCTAACAATGTTTGGTAATTGTTGTGGGATCAGGCGACGATAATGATCATCAAGATTGAGACCATTGGCAAAGAGAACATCCTCAAAGCGGACGAGGCAAGCCGTAACATCAACAAAGATGGGTGCTTGGTGGTCATGAACCACACCTGTCCATTGAAAAATGGGTAAATTAGGTGGGCAGACAGGAACAGAAGAAGGAGCAGAGGGCCAAGAAGACAGAGTAGTAATAGCAGGGCCTTGAACCTTTACCAAAGCTTGCTTAATCAGGTCAAGATCTCTAGTACGAGCAACAAGATCTGAACGCAAAGCAGTGATATCACAATCCTCAGGAGGATTAGCAACCTTAGTTCCCAAGATGACAAGTTCAATTGTCAGATCCTTGACTGCTTGCTGGAGAGTTTCCAAGTAAGTGGCTGGAAGAGCCGTACGAGAAAAACCAGAAGAAGAGACAGGGTAGTCTTGACAAGTATCCATGGGAGAATCAGAAGTAGGAGAAGACATAGTAAGGTAGGTAGTATAAAGTAGAGATAAATATACGTTCTTAATCGAAAAAAATGTGATATAATCACTAATAAAATGGTCAAATCAATAAATCGATTAGAACCAAAAAACGGCCAAAAGAAGTCTGCTTTATTAAAGGTTATATTTTGTATTGTATTTATACTATTTGTATGATAATTGATTATCCTTGATTTGGGACTGAGTGTGTATACACTAGCTAATCGGTTGAATGGATTAAGGTACACAAGAACTGGGTACATGATCAGGGCACAGACCTTGTCTACCATTGGTATTGATGCAGATGTCAGTCTGTGATTATGTGATGGTCTGATCTTTAACATGTTTAAACTAAGATAGAAGACATCCATCGAAGCTGCGGATAAAACTGTGATTGAAAGATATATTTATACATGATATTAATACTTGCTCTTTTAAGGCATAACTAGTGTAAGAAAGGATGAATAATGCTGTGTATACAACACTAATTATGATTACTGATTATTGATTACTTAACATCTTGACAGCGTGTGCCTGGGAATTGATTATATAAATTCTCCTTTAATTTTCCTTGTTACCTAAAAGGTACAATTATGGTTTCCTTATTTGTAAATATCCATATTATCCCAGTTACCGTTATTTACTGTCATTATACAGTGCTTACTTTATATTTATAATGTATAGTGCTATAAGTGATTATTCATTTATATGATGAAAGATTATTTATTATATTTTGTATTGAAAGTGCTCAGATCACCACATGTGTCAACAAGGAACTTGTCTGTCGCCTGCGCTGGTGGGTCAAGATCCTTCGATAGTCCTCTGAACATGTTCTCAGTACGCTAGGTGATAACATGAGAGGCGAGGTCAGACAAAAGTTCATGCATGGCGTAAGTAAAATCCCGCGCTTGTTGTTTGAGTGTTGTATGATCCCAATTTTTGTGAAGAAGTTGATATGAAAACCAATCCAAAGGACGGGTGATGCCCGACAAACGATATCAATCTGTTTGTATGGAGAATGTAAATTGACTTTGTTAAGCTTGGGTAGATCAAAATTTCGTAGTGTGTTTTTGGGGCAATCAAACAAGAAACGCCGACGGTCGGTATCCTCAAGAGGACGTTTAAAGGAGTCTTTTTGAATGTATGGAAACCCGTCCAGCATGGCAGAAGAAGGAGTAAAGTCAGCGCCAGGTGCACAGATGACAACGTTTGGGTCAATATTGACCAAAGGTGAGTCGTGCAGCTTTTGTTTAAGCTTATGGATTCTTTGTAAAAGTGTATTAGCCCAAGTGGGTGGTTGTACTTCATCAGACATAATTTCGCTACGACGGTGTAAGTCCAAGAGCGTAGTAAAAATTCGAACAAAAAGAAGATAAAGATACATAGTCTAGTTTTATTTTATTTTATATATAATTTAAGTAGTACAAGTTCGAATTTAACCAATAAAAGAAAGATAACAACAAAGGTCACTTCGCTCTCGTGTAATAATTTCAATACTTCGTGTATTCGTA